AATGATATTGGTACCGCTCTTGAGGGGGTGGAGGAGTTCGCTGACGTGGAGGGGAAGGAGGCAGTTGCTGCTGACGTGGAGGGGAAGGAGGTTTTTGCTGACGTGGAGGGGAAGGAGGTTGTTGCTGACGTGGTGGTGACGGTTGTTTTGCCGGTTGTCGGGCTACGACCGGACGGCGAGGAGTTGGCCGGGGTTGAGGTGGAGGAGGTGGGTCACTTGAGCCTTGTGATGTAGGCCTAGCGATGCTAGAGAGACGGAACCATGGACGAATGTTAGACATTGTATGATTTTATTTGAAATGTTATTAGTGTGACAAAACACAATGGAACGATTCAGATATATGTAACCAAAACTTATATATATATGCACGAGAAACATGAATTAAAGAAAAAGTGAAAGGAGAAGGAAGGTATCAGATCCATGCAATAAGATTTCCAGCTAGCAAAAACCACAATTTACGACTGGTATCAATCGTTAAGAGTCATTTTCAAGCTTTAATTTTCGTTTCAATTATAATTGTTTACTACCGTTGAAAAATTAATTTAGATTCTACATTTGTTACTATGTCTAGAAAAAAAAAGTCTACATCTAGTCACAGACACGAAAGACGACTATTTTACCTCAACTGGTAGGACAAAATCTTTACGATTTTACCTCAACTACTTGCACAAAAACGATGCATTTTTCTTTGAAAAAAAAGCGATGCATAATGTGATTTGAATTATTAGTTATTCATTTTTTTTTAATTAAGTTGGTTTCGAATCAATGCTCTTTAATTCACACTAAGGAGAGTAGTGTATTTCCACTGATTTGAGACACAAATTATTCCTTTGTATACTTTATATGAACGGTTGATAATTTCATTTAGGTTGATATTTTTGGGCAACTAGCTTTTTTTTATTCAAGGATTATTAAAATGCATGGAAAGGGAAACTTCACCAATGAAACATCGAATACTGATGAGCAGTAAAAAGTGTGTCTGTGTTTAGCATCTTTTCCAGGGGTGAAATTATTATCCGAGATCCGATCCGTTATCCGTTTCAAATCGTTTCAAAAATTAGGATATCCGGGGAGCCCGGATCCAGATAATTAAGGATAGTAAAATCTAGGATCCGTGAAAAGAGAATTCGAATATCAAAATTTTAAATATATATCCGGATCCGTGAAAAGAAGATGCATTAAATATATTAAAAATATATATATTATATATCTATTAAGCTAATTTTATATAAATAAATATATATGAAAATTGATTTTAGTTCTTTTTATTATAAATTATATTTATAATAAAAAATACCATTTAAAATATTAACTAATAATTTTTAAAAA